TACTGATGTTTACAAGGTTACCAACAATTTCCTGTCTGGATATCCCACAGTTTATATGCTGCTTTATCAATGCAAAAGCCACGTTGCAGGAAATCCCAATGTTGGTTTGGACAACATGATAAGCTGTTGCACAAAATTACTTGTTTGGTCTCATGCACCGTGGACTGGGTTTCTGAAAAGATCTGCCTGCAACAGGACTGCCACAGCATACATGCATTTTCCCCATTGATAGAAGCAAACTCCATCATTCTACCATTTTGAAATTTGAAGAGAGAAAGATAGAAGAAAGGTAAGCAGAGAAGGAAATTAAAAAAAAAAAAAGAAAAAAAGAAACAAGGGGTAGAGAGGTAATTTAGTTAGCTAAAGGAGAGCTAGGAGAGTGCAGTGGGCACAAGGAAGGAAAGGTCCTCTATGGCTAAGGCTTTGCTAAATGGGAGCCTGCAGGCTAAGCTTCAGTCAGGTTTGTCAGCCACCATCTTGTGTAACAGAAGGTAATTCTCCTGGTGCAATATGCTCTGAAATGGCCAGCTGGGATGCTGCACCTGGGTGGCCCTCTACCAGCTCCATTAGCAGTGTTTCTTGGCATGGCCCTATTGTGCTGGGGAGATGAAATGTGGCACTCCCTCTGAGTCACTTCTTGTATTCACACCATGCAACATTACCTTGCATCAGAGTTGCTTCTCCCCACAGTCATGCCACACCACTAGCATGAAATGCACATGACAGCAGCAGGGTGAAGCTTATAAGGCACCTGTCAGCACAGTCATGGAGGAATAAATGCCTTTGCTTGAAGTGAGAGCACAAAAGAAAAGCAGAAAAGTAAACCAAAGGGAACCTGCAAGCTCCTGCCTCTGTTGTTTGTCTCATTTAATCACTCCTCCCTCCCCCATTCCCCCGTTCCAAGACAACACTGGTTCACAAATTTCTGCAAATAAGCAAATCTTAGTAGAAAGCCCACCTAAAATGTATAAAAGACAACATATTTTCAGTACTAGAAATAGTATGTCTCAGAAGAATTGAGGTGTCATATGTGCCTAAATTTTAAACTCTTGCTGTTTATGCAGCCACCCTCAAGAGACTACTATTTAAGATGGAGCTCTGTGGCACAAAAATATTTCGATCTAGTTGACCAAAACTATTCTTAATTTATATTTTAAAGAAGTATCATATTATGTTAGATGTACCCATTTCATTCTCCAATTCATTCTTGCTGCCTCTGGTGTCTCTGGTCTGCTGCTCCTAATCACAGCAAGCATCCTATCCATGAACATTCAAATATCTTCATGATCCTCTCAGACCTTAAGGCAGCTGCATCTGGCTTAGAACCCAGCAGGTTTTTGTGGGTCTCAGAGGCACAATGCTCAGCCCAACAGAGATTTCACCTGACGTAGGATGAGCACTGTCCTTTCTCTAACACCCACAGTAGTTTGCTGCATGACTTTAAGCCAGTCCCTTTTCTGCATCCTGGTCTTTGCCAGATGCAAAAGGTGAGAATGCCACTTCCTGGGATTTGAGGGCTCTGTACAAAATTTGATAGCTCCTCATACATGCTCAGGTCACAAAAGAAGGAGTGAGACTCGCCTTAGTTCAAGGGCTTACACGTACCAGGTTTGCTTAGGTGGTCTGTAAGTCATGCTTGCGTAAGTCAACACTTTTAGAGAAAGAGGAAAAAAACAATATGGGATAAAGGTAAACCTTCTGTACTTGAGAATATTTCTCCCCTGGTCTTGGGCTACGTTATACTATATATTATCACTGTCATCAAAAGGGGTGTGTATAAGAACTTGAAAAACCAAACCAACCTGTCTCTAAGGTGTTCCATATATCACAGTCCTGCAGGTGGCTTTATTTCTAAAGTGCTGGGCTGTGCTGCTGTTGAAGCCTCCTGCTCCCCCTTGCTCCCAAGACCTACTTCTGGACTTAACTGCTGCATAAGGATTAATCACCTACTTAAAAGTAAGCTCCATTTCTTTACTGAAGTCATTGTTTATAAAAGAGCTGTAGGCTGCCAAAATGGTTTTGCTGTGACGATTTTATCAGATACTCAACTGATGTACTGCCTGCCATTCTCATTTGTGCATCACCAGTTTTCTCAATGATAAACAGTTGACTTTGGTTTAATGAATTAATGGTGGAGACAAGCATGGACCTCAACATCTTTTAATAAGTTAACAACCTAGGCGTGTCTCACTAAACCAAAAGAGATTGTTTGTAATGTAAAACCTAATTTCTAGATTTGGTGAACCCAGCACCAGCTGGAGTAAAACTAAGAGCTGTAAAGCTCTCCTGTTGTTTGAAAAAACCTGCTTGACTCTTCCAATTTCTATGTCCCCAAGTGTATTTAAGCAGATATGTGCATACATAAGCAGCACCTGCTAACGGTAAGATAATATTCAATATGGCCCAAACCAATATCCTGTTTGCATAAAATACATGAAAATATATTATCTTTTTCAATGATATTAATAATTAACATTTTTTCTGGAACATCCAGAGCTCTATATGGGAGCAACAGTGTGAACTGCATATGAGTAAAACAGGATTTTACCTTCCCAGATAGTCTTTGCTGCCTGTAAGGCATGTGGTCAAACCTGTTGGTAGGATTTGAAGCTGGCAGCTTTGCCCCACACCTGCAAGCCCATATGTAGTCCTCAGTAGAGACTGAGGCTGCCATTCCGCTTCACAAGCTTAGTTTCTCAGCTTGGAGAAATCAGTCGCCCTAACAATAAACTACAACATTGAGCATGTGTCTCATTCCAATTTTTTTTTTAAATCCAGTGGTCTTGGATTTTTTTCATACCCCTCTTTGCTTGTAACAGCTCATCCATCTTCCTGGATGTTATTTCACCTTGAGCAAATCTACTTTCCTTGTTTCATGGATTCTGGATTTCATTCCAGACATTTCTTTGTGGAAAATCTTACATGCGGGGAGAGAGATATAGAGTGGGGGAGATAGTTTGAATAGGTTATCTTTGCGATCATTCTTAAATCATGTCTCTCCTATGATCTGCAGAGATTCTATTCTCTTCAAGATGGCAATTGGCTTTTAGCTGTTTATTTCTGCCCACTGAGCTGGCACCAGGGTATACTCACAGTAGGCTGCTCATTGCACTGGGGGGATGACAGTGACAGGAACTCTCTTACATAGATGATAAACATGACTAAGTATCTAATTTGTTGGTTTTCAGAAATACTTGGGTCAATATACTTGGAATGTAGTAAATATTGGTTGACTTCTTTCTGCCTGGTCCTGTGAACTTCAGAATTCTGTTCATAGTAAGCCTGTATCATCTCATTAGAGTATTGGAATTAAACAGTAAAGCAATTGCAGAAAGAAATTAAATATTTTATAGTTGTACTAAATAAATTTTGTATTATATCCTGCAGCAACTTGGAACTGATTCAAATGCCACTGTTTTGACTTCATAAATTGTTTGTAAATAGATATCTTCCCCTGTGTGGGCTACTCAGTCAGAGGAATGAAAAAAAAGAAGACTGGGACCATCATGAACTTAAATTTTGGTGATTTTTTCATATCTGAGACCTTGCAGTTTCATATATACATCACTTTGCATGAATTCTGTAAAATTCTGCAAAATTCTGCATTGCTCACTGAATATACAGTGTTCATCCAAATGCACAATTACACACATATATTCGTATGAGGTATTCTACATTAAATACTTTGGCAGAAATGCATAGAGAATGAAGGTTTTTACCAGATTGACAAAATCTCTAAATATTGCCTCCCATGTTCCATCCATAATAATATGATTAAGTGAAAATGTGGTGTCCTGAAGTATTACCTTGCCACATATATGAATTCTAGTATATCAAAGCATTTCAGGGGACTCCCAAATATTTCCATGTTCCATATCTCATCATTGCTTAATTTAGACTAAGATCAGCTTTTTCTTTCAATTCTGGAGACCATGAAAACTTCTGAATGCTTCCCATTTCTTCAGTATACACAGCTATTTGGACATTTTTTGACTTTGTAGTAGTTTTAAATCACACATTGATCTTTAAGACCAGATCATGTTACTCTAGCAAACATTTCAGGTGTCTTTCTTCTACAGATTACCCAAGATAAAATTAGTTATGAAACAGCTTAGATCAGGAAAAAAAGAGACAAAACTGGTTTGAGCAGTTCTGTGTGAAGTCTGAAAGGCCAGAGCCACAATTCAGTCCATGTATTTATTCAACAGCAGGAAGTCCATGTCCATTCCAATCTGAGGAAATTAATGCATGTGTACATACATGATGTGTGTATAAGAAAATGAAATGAGCAAAAATTCTCTTCTTCTGTACCTGCTCTAGTTCCTATCATAGATGATGTTTTCCTCTGACATTTGTTTCTTTCACTGAAATATCACCAGTTAGTAACCACTTTGTTCTTCAGCAATCTTATTTTTTGTGCAAAAGCTTCTTCCCTGAAGAATAACCATTTTTCTACATAAATTCTCAGTTTCTAATCACTTTTGAAAGCATATTTTTTCTCAGACTTTGTTAATCTCCTCGCACTCTGGTGTGGATGACAACTGTGGCAGTGTCTTACAGACAAAGTGAGTATCCTCATGGCCAGAACAATGTTTTCTCATACATTTGTATGAGAACTTGCTCAAAACTTTTTTACCAATGCTGTTATTAAACCATAATGTTGATATCATGAATATGTTTCTAATTGGTTTATTGCTCATTCTTATTTTTATATCCATAGATTTCATTATCAAGTTCCTAAGAATGTATCATTACAATCATTTTAACTGAAAATCTATCTGTAGTATATTAGTCATCTGCCTTCTTCCTAAATTTCTCAGTTACTTCACTGCAGTTTTCAGAAGATCATCATTAGCTTCAGATGAAGCTTAAATGACTGTGGGCAATTGTACCTCATAGAACTATACATACACAGCTAGGGAATAATGCCTATAGCCTTAAAACTTTGGTCCTTAATATTATCTTTTCATCTTCAACTAAAGTATTAATATCTTAAGGTGATGCTGGAGTCAGTAACTCAGAGCACATTTCTACCAAACACAATGGTTTGCGAAACCCTGATGTCTTCGACAGGACTAATTGGGACTACCGAAGATGTCTATACCGCCTGTGATCATCAAAGAGGTATGCAGACAGACTCCAACAGAAAAAAGAAACTGTACAGTGTCAGAAACTGAAGAGTGATTTGAATCCAATTCATTTCAGACAAATCATGCAGCAAAAAGGCTACAGATTCTGAAACTGCTGCTGAGCCTTCTGTTATACGCATTGTCTGCTCTGGTCTTACTGACCTTTTCAAGCATATCACCAGTCATGTCAGTTATAGGTGCACAGGAATAGTAGCGACTTTAGCTTTGTTTGTCATGCAATGTGTTGAACTGATGCTTTCTCCTCTTATTTAAAAACATGATACACCTAATTCAAGCAGAAACTTTCAAAGGCCATCATAGTTCATTATGAGGAGCACAGCAACTATGGCTTCAGATTCTTGACTCCTTTTGTTTACTCCATGTGTTTGAAATCCAGCATTTCTCACTGAAAAGATACCCACAATACACCACTTCAGCTACAGAATGGAAGAGTAATTTATTTTGGGAGATTTATGGTTCCTCATACACTCGGCAGCTTTGTAATGAATAGTGGAGGCTGGGTAAATACACACTAAGACGGCAAGGACTAGGATTCTGAAAGCCCCTAGAGAACAGAACAGCTGTAGAAATGCACCTGTAATAGTGCAAGAGATCCCCACTACAGAAATTGCCAATGTGAAGGGTGCAATGTTCTAACTGTGCATATGGAAAACCTGTGCTTTACCAGGTCATGCATCTCATGTGGGGAATTCCTAATCTGTTTGAAGGAATTTATTCCAAATGTTCTGGTGTCAGGTCAGGTCCTTGTTCAGAAGCTTAAGTAAGCACTGCTTGTTAGAATCTTCTCCCTTCTAAACGATCGGATTAAATTCCTAAATAGTCCTGGCATTCTTCTCTGTGCTCAGGTTGAATAATTCAAAAGGCTCTGAAAAGGGAGGTAGCACAACCCACTCATGTTAATGAGCCAAACTTTTGGTGAGAAGCGGGGAAAAAATTACGACTATGCAAAATTTTTCTCTTCCAAAGCTATTTTTGTTCTTTTACATGAGAATACTGGTGGTCTTATGGAAAAGAACTTTCCCACCAAGACACATTTTGAGTAATAACAGTAATTTCCACATGGTTTCTGATGGTGCTAATCCATGACCACTGAGGACATAGTGTTTTGTTTCTATATCTTTAAGTTTGACATATGAGATAGAATATAAATCTTCTTGCTTCAAGGTGGTTGTATTTAAAGTCCTGCAGGAATTGAATTTTTTTTAAAATCATACTGGTTTAATATTAGTTTTCATTTCGTCTTAGAATACAGTCCTAACTTTCATTTAAAATTCCCAAACTCACAGAAAGCAATCTGTTTTAAAATTTAAACATACACTTTTAAGTACCTGACATGATTCATTCAAAGTTAATTTTGGATCCCTTCTTCTTTTGCCTTGATTTTTATTAAAGATCTACCTGTTATTCAACCTTCTTCCGCATCTTTAAACAAACAAACAAAACACCCCAAATACAAAACCCACAACAACAACATTGTGGGTAATAATCCCAAAGTAACTTCTGATATTGGCATATACACGTTTGTCAAAGGCAAAACAGCCCATCTGAGGCATTTTGACAATATATAACTTTACTGTGGTCTATTACTAGTTAACTGTATAAGGTCTGTGGTGCTACACCTGCGCAGCTCTGAATTCATCCAGATGAACAGTGGTGCAGCAGTTATACTCGAGCAATCATGTTAAGTTGAACTCCACTTGTAGCTAAGTGAAAAGCTCCCTTAGTTCTTAAGACACACAGCTTTACGCAACAATCAGGTCAGACTGCCTCTTGCTAAGCAAAGATGAGCTGAGGAAGTAATTAGCCTTTTCTGACCAAGGTAGGAGCTATGTTTCTTCCTGCACATGTTTTCTATTGCTCAATTCTTCATGCTTTTAGGCTTTCTAGGAGTCCTTTCTAGTTACAGTAATTTCTCTCCTGAATCAAATTTAAACCAGCCTGTGAATTCTCTTATCATTTCTTCCACAGTAGCCAAGGAGTACATATAACATATCTAGAACACACAGATGAAGCCACTACTACATTGCATAAGCAGCCCTTGAACAGAAAAGTACTTTACTCTGCAGCCAGAGTAGAATGTAGGTCAACCTAATAACATTCAACCTGCACTTTTTTCTGGTGACAGTAATAGGCTTAAGGATCGTGATCCCAACGTCTTTTGAAAACCTGTTTTGTGCTAGGTAGAAACGAAGTAGAAACTCAAGTTAAGCAGAAGAGAAAGTGATGGCAAGACTGTCTAGAAAGAAACAGATGAAGACAACTGATTTACAGGCTACTGCTAGGCTTAGCTCCTGTTCTAGAAAGAACACTAGTATTTTAATGTATGAGCCCAAATTAAGTTTCTAAAATAATTTCTGCAAAAACATGAAGTAGTTCCAGCAAGCCCGATCAGATACAGGACCCTGGCTTAGAGGGACTGTCATCTGGGACAGTGCAGCCACCCCCATGCTCCCATGGGGAGAACCACAGAGTTAGTTTGCCTTTCCATTCCCACACTGGTGATTTTACTGCTTTTATTTTCTGGCTATCGGAATATATCAGCGTTTGTATCTCAGGGCATTTTTTTTAATACAAAGTGGAGGATGTTAAAATTTGTGACATAAAAAATATTGTGTGATTTTTCATTTCTTCTCTATGTTTTCCAGCCCTTGGTGAAAAGGGCAAAATAATACAGAAAATTCACATAATCTCTGACTTCTAAATTTCAAACATTATGACTAAATTAAATGTCTTTTCCAACAGACAAAAAGGTGGACTGTGTTACATAGGAATGATCTCCCTGCCTTATATTAAAACTGGACTACATATAAAGAGACCAGACAGTTTTGTTTTGGCTGATGGCAGTATTTCCCTCCACTTATATTTTCCCACACATACTATATTAGCTTGCCTGCATATGCCATGCAGCAGAGAATGTATCCCTGGAAAAATCTGGACAGCTGTCTTTCGTTTGGCATGCATTCCTGAACCTACTTGAGACTATTGCCTTCCACAGCTTCACTTGTCACCACTGATAAAACCACATCCCCCACAAAGTAGGAGACTCATTTTAGAGGTGTCACCTTAGCTAGGGAACTTCAATCAAGTCTCTTGATTGAACAAGCTGTGTAGTCTGGGAAGATTATGTCAAGAGATGCCATTCTCTGAGGGCTGCCCAACCCAGGCTCCATGAAAAGTACAATAAGATAGTCAATGCAGCTGAACAGGCAGTGGAAATCACCTTAAAATGGTGGAATGGAAAAGGTCGGAATTCTATGTTTTCTTCTGCACCCTCTGCTACCCATCATCATCCTGTTTCAGGCACAATTCTGGTTTGTTCTTGTCACTAGGGGATCTATTGGCCCTTGTGGTTTTGTATGGTGGTATGAAATTTTACCTGCCCCTTTCTTTTTCTCTAAAAAAAACCCCTGAAATCTTTCATAGACTCTATGTCTTTGGCTGATCTTTCCCTCCTTAGTGGCATAATACCTTGATCATGTTCGTCATTTACAAGTCAGGAAAGCTCCCTGAATTCTTTACTCTGATATGAGATAGAAAAGGCATGAGCACATGCTAAGATGAGGTGTTGGTGTCAGCACCTTTAAAATGCTCGTCATATACAGTAGTACTTCAAGGGGCCATGGCATACTTAAAAAGAATGATTTGAGCCTTTCTAAAACCAAAGAAAACACAGAAACTGGACTACATGAGTGCTGTTCCATGAATGAAACATGCTGTGTCATTTATATGACAACACAAATCCTGTCAGAGAAGACGATATTTATCAAAACAAAGTCAAAGTTTCAAGCCCAATGGCCAAAGTATTTCAAGGTTATTCACTGTACCTGTGGATTGGCAGAATAAATACTTCCACTTTTCTTTCATATTGCCTTAAGATAGGAAAAAATGAGCAACTCAACAGTCTTATAGATAGAAAAGTGAAGTTGTAGATAGAAAAGGGAAGCCATGACCTTTTCACTCAGCTACGTATTGCACACAGATATGGGGAAAGGATGTAGACTGGCTTGTGGCAGCAGGTCACAGAGCAGCCCCTGAAACACAGGGCTGGATTTGTGCCCAGCCCCACAGGGACACTCATCTCCTGGTAAATCTGTCTGGTTAAGGACATGATGATGTTCCAGTTTTCCTAAGGGGGGCTGGAGGCTGTTGGCAGAGGATTACAAAAAAAATAAAAATAATTCCTGATTCAGAAAAGGATCAATCCAACTTTCTGCTTCTCTTGAGCAGCCTCTGAAGTTGGGATTCCAGTAGAGCTATAGCCTAATTTTAAAACTTTTTGTTTTTTACCTGGCAGAAGGCCTGTGAGCCTGCTGCTCCCAGTACTCCCATTCTCCCCCACAGAAGCCTTCAGACTCTGACATAGCCAGGTGTGTTCAGTCTGCAGGGCTTATGAAGTTAATCCAATGGCAAGCTCCTCTGATTTTCCTTTTAACTAAGGAGGTGAATAAAATCTGGGATTCAAATATCCTAAAGGTATGGGTCCCAAAAGTCAGACCCGGAGCTTCTGCCCACCTCTTGGCTTTGCTACAATGTCACAGTAGCGTCTCAGGGTTTAAAACACAGCACGCAGTATTACATTAATCCTGTATGTGCATACATATGAAGATATTTATAGCATGGGAATGATTCATGAAAGCAACCACAAATTCCTCTGTAAACCTTTAGGAGTTGTAATTAAAGTAATTAGAAGTATTAATTACTTTACAGAATCCAAGTAGGATGCAAGATCCATATTACAGTTATTCTGTCACAATTTCAAGCCCTTCGAATTAATTTTACTATGGAAACTCCTCCAACCTATTTGCATCATTTTGCACTCTGAACTGGCTGTCTAGACAGACAAATACTATTCACTCGACTTGCAGTGCTATCATAACCTATATTAAATTACAATTTCATATAAGCAATCCCTAAAATCAAATATTCAGGATTTATTTGAAAATGAAATAATAAATAATGGATAACTGGACTAAGAAACTGTGAAATACGGATCAAGTGTAAGATGTTGTGGGACATGAAAATGAACTAAACTCTTTCTGTTTTCCTCACATTACTTTCATTCACATTTTTTATTGCCTTTCTTTCGCTATTTACTGTTCTGCAACTGCTCCACTCCAGTGATATAAGTATTACAGATAATATATTCAAAATTAATTTAGAATCCTTAAAGATCCTAAAGTAAGGATCAGGATTGGATCCCTGTAACTGCTTAAGAATCTCAACTGAGAGAAATTACTAATCATCCTTAAAAAGAATAGAAGAAAATTGAGTAACGAATGAATGAAAATAATGATTCCAAGGTGCATACTTGAATTCTGTTTTCACTAAATGTTATTTGAATGGATGCAGAAAGGACATATCCTTGTCATTGCCTCTGCTTCTTACAATCACTCAAAAAAGGTAGCTGCATATGAATCCAGCAGAAGAAGACTGTAAGATCAGACTTTTGCCTGTGTGTAGCAGTCTAGCTCATGGAAAGAAAAAGCGGAGTTTTTTAAAAAGTGTGCCCATCACTATACCCAATGAGATTCAATAATAAGAGCCTGTGTTTCGATTCTAGGAAAAAAAAAGTGTTTAAATCACAGATTATGCTTGTTAACTGTATTATATATATTTATCATACCAGGCCTAGACATAAGATCAGTAATACATTTTTCTAGGGGAAAAAATTATTGCAAATATATGCATATTTCTGTACATTTTCCTGGTAACTGCACTGCTAAGGACAGAAAGAAGCCTGTTAAAAAAATTTGAAATTTAATTGGCAAAGCAGTTTTAGGTTACAACTGCTTGGCAGGTTTACTTGGAAGATCTTTGTCCAGTGATGTGTTTTCAGAGTAGTATGTTTTTCATTTTCTAATCTAACAAAACAAGTATTCCCTATGATGACATTAACATTATTTTAGATTAAATAAATGAAAGAATTGCTGGAATTCTTAGAAAAAATGTAATAAATCAATGTTATTTACCTATCTTCCACAAAGCGTAACTAGGTGGCTTTGACTATTTTCACATCTAAGACCGAAGTTATTTTAGTCTAGGAATACATCACTTCTTTATATTACAGAGTGCTCAATTCTCACAAATCCTATACTCTGACTTTTTTAATTTTTTGGACTGCAGTATTAAGAGGCACATTTTCTTTTTTTTCCCATGTGTAAGCACTTTTTCTTGAAATGTCTCACACAGGATGAAATACAAAAGGCTGTACAATAGGAAGCAAAAAATGCAAAACACAGGGCTTGATGTGTTTGAGAGGAATAAGGAAGGAAAACTGCAGTCAGGAGAAGGAAGAAGGATTAGTTTTGTTTGAAATATGTTTATTAAAATGAAATGCACAGTGAATTTTTCATTGCAATATTCCTTTTTCTTGTCAAATATGTTGCAGATCCTAATTCTTTCTGGACATCTATCCACCCAGAATACTGGAGTGAGCACAACGTCTGTGAGTGGTTGCAGTTTTGCTGCGACCAGTACAAATTAGATGCCAACTGCATTTCCTTTCCCCACTTTAATATCAACGGCTTGCAGTTATGCAACATGACTCAAGAAGAGTTCCTAGAAGCTTCAGGCATTTGTGGTGAATTCCTGTATTTGATCTTACAGAATATCAGGATGCATGGTTAGTGTTCCAGAAATCAAACTCAAAACACAAAGCGTTGAATTTTTGTGTGTTTCACACTAAAAGAAAATGTGGGATCCATGTTCTCGAGCACTGAAAAAAGGCAAAGTACAGAGGCTGCTTAGATGCACCTCTGCACGAGGAGTACACAGAAATATGGCAGGCAGAAAATCTTACTGCAACCTTAGGCCTCACAGTCACACATAGACCAGGCACATCTCTGTAAACCAGTAAAATCTCTAAATACACACAAGCACTTCTCTCTCCTTTGGTTTTCTACTAAAACCGGTCAACCTGATTGATCCAAGGGAAGTCTATATCCTGACAGGATATAGAAAGACATAACATATTGTTATTCCTGTAACTCAAAGTAGTGAAGATTGCTTTGCTTCTTAAAAAGTAAGCAAGAAGTTTTGTTTGATGAGGTTATTATCACTGCAGTATGCATCTCATTAATAGTATGCTTAATGATGGTCTTGAATGAAAACACTTTTAATTTACTATTTTCAAACTTGTCTTAGAAGACTTATTAATGCTTAAATGAGTCGAGGTTCAAAAACTAAGTTATTGGTAGTTTAGAATAAGTGAAATAGAAGTGAAATTTCTGCTGCAGATACCCTTTCTCTATAGTCATGCCTGCCAAAGATTACTGTGTATGCCTAACTAGGGCAATTGTACCCAGGTTCGTTGTGATGATATGAACAAAGGAGTTTCCACTAAGCAGGGAAATCCAGAATGTCATTTCCTTGTGCCCCCGCAACAAGACACTGAGGAGCATTTTAGCTCCTTGAAGCCCTCAATGGCTCAAGCCTTCTCTGGCTTAGGGGAGTATTTGACCAAACTGGAGTTATGTGACTGCTGAAAAAGAATTAAAAACTTAGGCATGCGAGTCCTGGAGGACCTCGTGGTAGCAGACACTGCCAGCAGCTCCCAGTGGTGAACAGCTGCTTAGTCACAATGCGCTGGAATTTATCCATCCCTCCCTGGTCCACTGCCTACTTTTGAACTGCCCAGTGGGAGAGAGGTGGCAAGGCAGAATGCTGCAGTAGAGGGTGACCTGGGTACCCAGCAAACAGGGAAGGGCAGGCTGAAGCTGAAACAGGATCTTTGAGAGACTGGGAAGACCAGAGAAAAGGAGGTGCTTAAGAAAATATGTGGATAAGCTTTATCAAAATGAAGCAGGGTTGTGCAGTGACTGAGACATCAGTAGGACAGGTAAGACTGGGAGAGATAAGAAAGACTAGAGACTGTCACAAGAACAAAATAGCACTCTGGTTTAGGTTGGAATTGCTCTGTGACTGCCATCACTTTCTTCCACCCAGTTAGTGTTCATATATTATGTCAGAGAGGCCATTCAGAAGGCAATTATTAAATGCAGGAGATAAGGATGTTATTAAGGGAATTAAAGAATTCAGAGCTGTGAAGAAAATCTCATTAAGAAAATTAATTTTTTATAGTCAGTAGAGAGATTGAACACTTGGCAGTGAACGAAATACATATGCTCATGCATATCCACCTTATAAATTGCTTAAGACCTGTGAGGAAAGACAGTAATGTAAGACATTACTACAACATACTTAATGACCAAACTATGGCTGCACAAGCAGGCTTAAGTCAAGCTTTTCCCAATTTTGTATGCCACACTCATAGCATGAGTTAAGTTTCTTGAATGCAGATTTGTATATGCAATGCATTTATTTATGTTGTGAATGTAAATACTCGTTTAAAAGATGACATGGTTCTAAAAAAGCAGACAACTCTCAGCCCTGCAAAGATCTGATTTCCAGCCATAGCGATGATCTTTACTTGCTTAAGGGAAGGAGGGAGGGAAGACTGCAGGAGTATTTTTCAAGGGACAAGGAACCGAACAAAAAAAGACTCACCTAAGTGTAAAGAAAGGGAGAGAAGCTGTGATATAGACAACAGCAAAAATGAAGTGCAAAGGGAACAGAGGGAAAAGAAACAATACACATGAATCACAAGATCAGAGATATACAGGCACAATGCAAAGCGTAAGAAAAAACCCCCAAAAATTAAAGAACAAAATCCCCAAACAACACAAATATAGTAATAGTGGGAAGGATAAATCATTTTTGCAGCAAATGAGTTGAAAAATTATTTCGTGTTTTTGCAGTCTGTATTTTCTACATCTGTTCTAAGGTACATTCACTAGCAATGATGCAGTAGACAAGGACTTGGCTTTAGATTTCAGTTCATAAGTTATTCTTGTGAAGAAAATAACTGAACACTGGATTATATTTTTCCCTTTTAGGCGTTTCCTTTTTTACTGATGCAGAAGTAACAAAGCCATCAAACAAGGACTGTAAGTAAACTTGTTTGTACATGATAAGCTCCATTCGACAGGAAACACTGTATTCAAACATCAGCAGTATGTAGCAGATGAAGAGAGAGATTTCTAAAATGAAAAAGAATGAGGGCCTTTGCTTCTTTAATGTTCTTTAATGCTAAGGTAGTTTTGACATTTTAGAAGCACTGCACAACACTAAGCCAAGAAATTCTTTGGCTGCACATCATGGAGGGGTGCATTGCATGCATGCTCACCATGTGCCAAACTCCACGTCTGCAGAATCAAAGCATTTTGAACAGAGCATTGAGAAAAAACTCATGTTTTGGTGTGCCGCAATACATGCAGTTGCATGCTAATTATTCACTTAGAATCATAGAATCACAGAATGATTTGGGTTAGATGGGACCTTAAAGATCACATCGTTCCAACTCCCCTACCATGGGCAGGGATGCCATTCACTAGATCAGGTTGCTCAGGACCCCACCCAACCTGGCCTTGAACACTTCCAGCAACAGGCCAGTCAAAACTTCTCTGGGCAACCTGTTCTTTTGCACTGATGTAAAGTGCTTCACCAACCTCACAGTAAAGAATTTCTTCCTAACATCTAATCTAAACTTGTCCTCTTTCATTTTAAAACCATTGCCCTTTGTCCTGTCACCATCTCCCTGTACAGAAAGTCCCTCTCCCTTCTTTTTATAAGCCCCCTTAAGGTACCAGAAGGCCACAATGAGGTCTCCCCAAGGCCTTCTCTTCTCTAGGCTGAACAATCCCAGCTCTCTCAGCCTGCCTTCATGAGAGAGGTGCTCCAGCCCTCTAATCATCATGGTGGTCCTCCACTGGACCAGTTCTAATAGGTCTATCTCTTTCTTATGCTGAGAACCCCAGACCTGGACACAGCACTGCAGATGGGGTCTCACCAGAGCAGAGTAGAGGAGCAGAATTCCCTCCCTTAACCTGCTGATGATGCTGCTTTTGGTTCAGTCAGGATGCATTTGGCCTTCTCCTCTTTGAGCACACAGAGTTGGCTCTTGTCCACCCACCAGCACCCCAAAGTCCTCTGCAGGGCTGCTCTGAATGACTAATCTGAAGTTAAGGTGATTTCTGCATATAACAGCACTAGCAGCTTTTTCAGGAGAGTCACATTATTTGTATCACTTCTGATTCTCAAACAAACTTTTGAAGTGAGTTGAAATAACAGAGTTTAGCAATGCTGGGAAGTAGGCTTTCTAACTCCTCATACTACTGTCTTGTTTTGAAGGTAAGCAATGTTTGTTACAATCTTTCACTTGAAACACTTAAAATGACCTTGAAAATTGCTTTTAAAACATCAAGTTGAGTACAATGTCAATCAATGGAACAGAAGTTATGAATGACATAAACTTTGCAAGACACTAAAATTTACGAATTCCTGGAGTAAAAAAACCCAGATTCTAGTGTCATAGGTGTTTGCATGACCTGATTTATTTTTTTTTCTGGAGGAAATAATTTGAAGCCAGCTCCAGCAAGGCAATGAACTAAAATTTTGAAAGTTACATTTAGGTAAGTGCAATTGGTTTGTGGGGATGACAATCCAATAATAAAATGTACTGTAAATACTGCCTTAGTACTTTGGCATGCATAAGAAAACATCTACTAAATATTTGTCTTCCTCCTGTTCAAGACCTACAGAATTCTCATTTGTGGGAATTTGTAAGGGATCTGCTCCTTTCTCCTGAAGAAAATGGTGGCATCCTGAAATGGGAAGACAGGGGACAAGGCATTTTTCGTGTTGTTAAATCAGAAGCCCTGGCAAAGATGTGGGGACAAAGGAAGAAAAATGACAGAATGACTTATGAAAAATTGAGCAGAGCTCTCCGGTGAGTTAATGCGCAGCAGTATCCTCATTTCATTTGGCTTCTATTCCAGCATCCATTTTTCATAACTATTATGAAAACTTTGGGGTGGGAGGGAAGGATTGGGTGGGTGGTTATTTTCTTCACATTTTTTCTTTAGATCATGAGATAGCTCCCAGCCTCCTTTGCTTCTAAAAAAAAATCTGTAGGGCTAAATAGAAAGCAGTATAGAGTTGTAACTGTTGATGACAACAAAGTAATCACACTTTATCTCAGTTGAGAATGTTACACTACATTTGCCAAGCAACCAAATCCCCCAAAATTTCTCTTTTTGCTGTTCCAGTAACACTGATGGTTTCTTCTCAACTGTGATGACCTTGGGGAAAAAGAACAACAAATCGAAGATCACAGTTCTTTGTAATTCTTGCATCTTTCAAACAGTGGAAGGCATACTCCAAGGCATGTGGGAAAGTTTAAACCTGTTTAAAGTCTTGAGAGCAATTTAACAGAAAGAGAGGAGCTCTCTGACTGTAAAGAACACGGTGATTCACATACTGTTCTGCTGTCATGAAGTCCACGAGAAAAACTTCTCTATTGTGACTTCTGCTATTACTTTGTCCATTGTTTCTTTTCTGTTTTTCCTCTGCAGTTACTATTATAAAACTGGCATTTTGGAACGAGTGGAGAGAAGGCTGGTGTACAAGTTTGGAAAGCATGCCCATGGATGGCAGGAGAACAAGATGTGAATTGCCTCATGTTTCCTTCTCAGTACAGAATGTGCCGCATCCTGAATTATAAAGCAGCAATGGATACTTGAGGGAGAGTTGTTCTGCTCCCTCTCTCCCCTCTGTCAGCCTGGTTGAACTCATTGCAGACTGCTTCAAAAGACAGACTAGAGCAACAAAAACAGCACTCGAGTTTTGGAGTTGTCCTCTCCTTCGTGATTTCTGCCAAACACTCTCTCTTTGTACCCCTTTACTGCTGCTCAAGAGATTAGGATTAATGTTGATATTTAAAAACTCCCTGCCTCTCTCTGTCTTAGCCAGTATGTCCACTGGGAAGTATTAAATTCTGCCCTGTTTCATTGCCATTTAAAAGAAATTGTTTAGGTACATCTTCCAGTTAGTTTCCTATACTTTGGAGTAACACAGAAAATTTTCCTTCATTTCATGAGAAAAACACTTTTCTTATTCAATGTACCCTAAACCATTGCATTTCTCAGATATACTAGAATTCAATATGTTGTTCAAAATGAGCAATTCAGTCCTCTATATTTGTCTGGATTTAACTGGTTCAGTCAACTAAGTTAACAAAGAAAAAAGACTATTCTGAATTATTTATCAAGCAGCTATCTTTCTTGCCTATTGATGTCATCTATGCAATTATATTAATCTATATATATACTTGGTATATTTAGTTTTTTGAGTCCAAAAAGAGTTCACTGCAATTATTTATCACTGTTCTTTGTGCTGTATTGGTGAGTTGCCATTGTTCACATGATATCAATTCTGTTATATAGCAGAATTAATATAATTTTTATTATAAAGAATTTTGATGGAAATATTACCTCCTGTGAAATCCAAGGTCACTTTTTGCAGTTTGCATGCATAGAAGTTTGAATTTTTCTTCTATTAATCCTCATGAAGGTGAATTCATGTAACTTTTGCATTTGGAAGAAGCAGTTCTGGAAAGAATATAAGCATGTGCTGAAGTAGATTAATTTTGAAATGCAAATTATTATTTGTGGCAAGGTTTTTATAGAACTTTCACCCACATCTATACAACCATAGGTTTAGTTCTTCAAAGCAGCCTATGACATACAGTTTTACATATACCAATAAAAATTAACATGCAGTAAGTGCCCTCAGGTGCTCCCTACCTTAACTTTACAATAAGTAAATTGGTTAGAATGAAGGATGATATGTGAAAATTCAATTGTGTTTTTTAAAAGCATCATAGTCATTTAGTAGTTATTACGGACATTGGTTTTTACACATTACAAATTTAAGCAACTCTAAATCCATCAACAATTTTAGGCTAACCACAAGTGGCTTTCAGGGAGTTTTGATGGGGCTCTGGTCTTGCTTTCCAATGGATGTCTTTGCAGCATGTTATTCCACATAACCTGAGTTCATTGTTGAGTTCCTTTGTTCTTTAGCCCTGAAAGTCTCGTTATTGAAAATCAGAAAACTATGGCCGTGCCTGCAATAATGATTGTGTTTTACAGAAAGCATTTGGTTCAAGAACTAGAATTATCCAGTTAAGTACTGCTGCAATAACATTTTAGGTTGGTACCTTACTACTTGGGGAATGGTTGCAATGGCTCTCACTGACTGTACAACCTGCATCATGTCCTGACTTCACCTCTACCCATCAAATGCTGCAAAATTCATATTAGAGATGATTATCACTGAGGATTCTTCCAAAAATTATGCATCTATGGATATCTTCATCTTATGCCTGTTTTTCAACCATTTATTTCTTTTTATCTGCATAAGAGCTACTCACATTCTTCTTGAAAGATAAATTCCTTTAAGATATGGATGGGGTATAAAGGGCATGCTGTGAAAAATGCTCAAATTTTATTGCAGCACTATTGCAGCACCTATTTCCCAATAGAACACTATTGTTTTGCTAAAAGAAAAAATCATTAACCACAGACAAAACAGGGACATTAAACTCCACATAAAATTAGTCTATAAGAAGACATAGAATTGAGGGATGAGTACTTTCAAAATAAAATTTACCACCTAAAATCATAGAATCATAGAATAGCTTAGGATCATCTCATTCCAATCCCCTGCCATGGGCACGGATGCCACCCACAAGATCATGTTGCTCAGGGCCCCATCCAACCTGGCCTTGAACACTTCCAGGGATCCCCATCTTCTCTGGGCAACCTGTTCAGTGCCTCATTACTCTTGAAGTAAAGAATTTCTTCCTATTATCTAATCTAAATCTCTCCTCTTTAGTTTAAAATTATTCTCCCTTGTCGTATCACTATGTGCCCTGCATAAAGTTGCTCTCCTTCATTTTTGTAAGCCCCATTTAAATACTGAAAGGTTGCAGTGAGCCTTTTCTTCTCCAGACTGAACAATCCCAGCTCTCTCAACCTGTCTTTGTAGGAGAGGTGCTTCAGCCCTCTGGTCATTTTCATGACCCTCCTCTGGACCCCCTCCATCTGTTTCTTGTGCTGAGGACTGCAGCCCGGGTCTAGTGGAAGGTGTACCTGCTCGTGGAATGTGTAGCTGCCCATGGCAGGAGGGTTGGAACTAGATGGTCTCTAAGGTCTCTTCCAACCCAAACCATATGATTCTATGATTATTTACTGCATGAGGGGCTGGATCAGACAAAACTTTCAGGGAGACTCTCCCATTGAATCACAAATTCAGAAAGGTCCCCCTAGTTTTCTAAACTCCTTCTTAGAGAGGAGTTTGGGTGCATCTGGATCCAATCCTAGTCTCAGACTTGATCAATAGTTTTTATCTATAGGATTATAAATATGCACAATGAATCCTTTACATATCTTTTAAAGTTTAGTGTGCTATCAATCACTTACCCAGAGTCTGTGGCAAGGAAACTCTCAGCCAGAGAAAGTTTCTCAAGGAAACTCTTGAGAGGCCCCCCTGCTCAAGGGGAGATCCTGGTGTGCAGCCTGATGATGCACTGCTTATAAAGTAAGATTATACTCATAGTTCCATACCTGCCACCTGGCTCACCATTTGAGACAGCCCTTGGCTACCACACTGCCATCTGCCCCCAAAGCCAGAGTAAACTGGATACAGCCATCACAACTCCCATTTGTGGTTATGGCTTAAGCGAGAAGTAAGGGGGATGTGGGGGGTGAGAGGTAGGGGGAATGGGGGGGCAGGAGGGAGTGACACCACCCTCTCTTTCTGTGTCCCTTTTTGTGTGGCTTTGAGCACCAAGTGCCATTCTGTGTACCTCAGGGTCCTCTAAGTGCCCTTTGTCACAGCTCAGGGACCTCCATGTATTCCTTTGTTCACTTTACACCCCTCACTATCACTTTCTGTGCAGACCCAGAGCTTCAAAGTGCCTCTTGTTGAGACCAATGGGCTTCCTTGGGCCTTTCTATGTGTGCCAGTGTCTCCATGTGCTTTTCTGGGTGGCCTTGGCTCCTGGCCCTACCAACACCAAGCTTCTGCCCTTATGCCTCTTCCTAACGGTTTTCCTAAACCACTGCCTCACTCTAACCGGAGCCTTGGTCCAAAAGACATAACCTTCAGCTTAGGACTCCCATAAAGAAGGGGCCAGAACTAACAGCTGTTGCTGCCCTTTGATGCTTACTCACAGCCCCAACCGACAGCAGAACTCTCTGCTTGTTCTGACACCTAGTGATTTTCCATTTTGGAGCAATGTTTGGTTTGACGTGGTGCCAGTGTACATTGAGTTTGATAGGCAAGTGCATGACTCCATCTAGTGGTGCTATGAAACAGGGACAGCGGGAAGGTAAAGACCAGCAAGAGCCATCTATCCCGGCAAATTTGGAGCGGGAGCAGTGCCTGGACATTATCAATTTTGGAGCTGAGCTCTGCCCAGAGTAAATAACGTAATGGTGTGTTTAGTGGGGAGGAAAGTACATAACTTCAGTGTTGGTTGTGCAGTTTATAGGCTTCAAGGGGAAGGTAAGGGCCAACAGTTTTCTGTCTGTGTAATCGCTGGAGGTTTTCAATTTTGTAGCTATGCTTCTAGGTAGGTGCATTATTTCCAGAATTATTTTCTAAATAAAGTATCCCACCAACACTGGGACTATATGCTTTCCTTCCCACCCTCATGTTTTACCACCACATACTCTCACTCCGGACAGAGCCCTGCTCTAAAATTGGAAAAGCTCGTTGACTGCTCCCACACTAAAGCTGATAGGACCAAAAGCTGTTGCTGGCCCTCTGCTTCCACTTTTAATGCCCCCAACATTCCTTCCCTCTCTCACCCAGCCATGGTCCACGTGCCCCCATACGCTGACAGATGAACACTTGACCCAGTATGCAAAAAGGTTTTGAAGAGCAGAGAAAGTGTGCTCAATGGTATCAGCCCACCCCACCTAAGCATAGGTGCATGATTTAGAGAATGTGACTGAGTGTGCAGCTGCAATGTGAGCTGCAGGTTGTGTCCTGGGTGGAGGAAAACAGTGAGAGACTCAGGCGCCATGACCTGGTGCCGACCCTCAGCACAACAAAGGGCATGGGGACCTGTGGCATAGGCCAGGTGACCTGGCACTTAGGGACACAGCAGGACCCAATAACACAGCAGGAAGGCCTCAGACTATTGCATACACAGACTGTAAGAGTACAAAATCCCCAGGATTCCTTTTGTTGGGTGTCCCTCCCCAGGGGCACTATCTCAAGCAGTTATTCTGTTGTTGCACAATGACTAAATTACTCAAAGGATCCAGACATCTGAGACTCTGCTATGGGAAACTGAGCATGGAGCCAATAAGGAAACTTTGCCTGATTGTGTGAGTGTGGGGTGTTCAGGGAGTCAAGTGAGGCACCCGTTGGTCACTGGAGGTGCCTGCTGTAAAGGGTCCCAGCAATTACAATCCTGGAGGTGGGAGTGTGGCTGCCAGAGTGGCTCCTGAGTAGTCAGACAGGAAAGTTTCTTTACAAGTACATTTAGATGGGAAGGAAAGACCATAATGACCGAGTTTGTGGTGCAATTTATAGGCTGCAGGAGAAAGTGAAGTCCAGAAATAGCTTTCTGTCCTGGAAACTTTTATGTGGGAGCAGTCGCTGAACATTTTCTGTTTTAGAGACAG